TCATGTCCATGCTGAGGTTTCCTCAGCTTGTCCACCAGCCACACCACAGCTTTTCTGAGGGCCATCAACCATGGTTGCCTGCCAGATGAGCAGCCTCCCATGGAAGTGCGCAAAGATGATCCATGCTGGGACCTCATCCAGAATGGGTGGTCATGGCTCATTTTGAGCCATTTGGTGGAAGGCCAATGGCCCATGCTACCCACCCTGCTGCAAGGGGCCATGAACTCTGCCAACTCCATCTCCAAGGCACCAAATGAATTAGAGCTTGCTGCCCAGCTTGGCCACCTGTTCAGCCTCAATGTACCACTTCATGAAGCCAAGGAGAAAGTCCAAGCTGCCAATACTAGCCAGCCTGAAGTTTTGACCTACCTCAGTCATTTTGTGAAAACATTTTCAGGTGGGCCAAAATTTCCCATGTTGGATTTCCTACAAAAGTTCAGTGGCCTGGATGCAACCAAAGGCTTCACAAATACCATTTGTTTGCTCTATACCACCAACCATGAATGTTACCAATTTGGATGATTCGGGCAAGCAAAACCATTAGCTAGTTATTTGCAAATGCGACCACCATTCAAGGTAGGAATTTCAACCTCCAGCTCCAAGTTGGCCCAGATGTTTTGGAAGCAATGCGCTACACCAACTTCAAGGTCACTGGTGAAATCTTTCCCATGCTTCGAGTGGCCATGTGGTGCACCATGTTGGGGGCAAACAAGCACCAGGACAACATCCAAAGGATTCTCACCAAAGCCGATCTGGACAAGCTGAAGACTGCCAATGCCAAAGAGAAGGTCATCACAGCAGAACACCAGCTCCAAGGTGCTTGGCCCATTGTTGCCAAGAGCACTGTGGAGGACCAGACCCACAGCTATAAATGCCTTTGGCAGACTGTGAAAAAGGACCATCCTGTTTTTGGTTGGCAAACAAAAGCACAGCAGGGAAACCAAGTCCTATGAGGATTTGGGCCAAATCTTGGAAGCCTTTACCCAAGAGATGGCCAAAACTCACACATGTGAAGCCAAGGAAGAGCTTGAAAGCCAGACACCTCAAGATGTGCTGAGTGCCAGTGCACAGGACATGGCTTTGATTCAGAACCCTAACATGAAGCCAGGTGAAGTGCACCTGGACTTGTGCAATGTAAGCTTTTGGTTGCCCATTTGCATTA